TTGGAAGTCTACATGCCTTTAAACACAGTGGTCTAGTTGCACTTCAAATTCAGATGGCCTCAGAATTACAATGCTATCACTTCCTTGGAGCACGGCATGACTTCAGGAGCTGCCACACTAAGAATTAATATACAGTGAGCCACAACTTCGTACTGGTTTCCCCTCTGATTGAGATGGCAAGCTGTCTCAATCAGCAGCAGAATCTGTTGCTCTCCACTGAATGTATCCCCCATTCCCCATCCCTGCTTGCTCCTTTCTCACTCACTTGAGAAGGGGTGAAACACTGCCTGAAGGCTGCTCCCAGGATCCGTAGGGATGTCTAACACTGGGAGTCATCCAGGGAGCAGGGTGACAGTGCCTTGCTTGATGTATGGGCGAAGGATGATCTGGAATTAATGAAGTGGACACAGAGAGGTGGTGCAGTGGGAGTGAAGGGGAATTACCCAGATGGTCTGCCTGAGCAGGAAGAGAATAAGTGCAGTTCCAGGGAGCAGGAACCACCTCACAATATTTATTCCTAACTTGGTCTGCAGAGAATGGTCTTGCTGCTGAGATTCATAGACAACGAGAGAAGGAGCTTATCTCATCTGAATCATTATAATTATTCAACCTTGGTCTAAAACTTATTTGGCTCTTGGCCTTCACTTCTGGTATTACTCTGGAATTGTAGTCTAGCACTCAGCAACGTAACAAATGGATGACCAACACAAAAACAAAACAAAAAAACTTCCCCTCAGCAAAACAAAAATAATAATCACAATACCAAAACACAATCCACACAATTCCACCTCCACCGCAATTACAACAGAAATTCCCATGATTATTCAGCTAACAAGGTTCAGTCTCTGTTTTGCCCATTACCTCTCACAATTACTATCCTTATCTCACATTCCTCTGCCCCACATTGAGCGCCAAAAAGGACTGTCCTGATTTGAGCCCAGACAGCAACTGAGCACCACACAGCTGCTCACTCACCCTTCTGCCTCAGAAAGGGGAAGGAGAAAATTAAGGAAAAGGCTCAGGAATTGAGATAAGGACAGGGAGGGGTGATTCAGCCACTATGGTCATGGGCAAAAGACAGATTCCTCAGGGGAAGAAAAGGAACATCAATTTAATTCAAACACTAACAACAACACCACTTAAACAGAGTAGGGCAGTGAGAGGTATAATCACATTTTAAAAACACCTTCCCCCACCTCTTCCTTCTTCTTCCAAATATCTCTACCTCCTCCCCCATAGCAGTACAGGGGCCAGGGAATGGGGCCTGCAGTCAGTACCTCACATGTTGTTACTACCGCTCCTTCATCCTTAGGGGAGACACTCCTCACATTCTTCCCCTGCTCCAGCATGCGGTCCCTCTTACGGGAGACAGTCCTCCACAAACATTCTCCAACATGAGTCCTTCCCACAGGGTGCAACTCTTCCCATGCTGCTCCAGCGTGGGTCACCCCTGCATGTCGCAGTACTCCCAAGGCCAAACTACAACAGCAGGGGCTTCCCTCAGAGTCCCGGCCTTCTTCAGGTGCAGCCACTTGCTGTGGCATGGAGTCCTCCACAGGCTGCAGGTCGGCATCTGCTCCACCAGTGACCTCCATGGGTGCAGGGAACAGCCTGCCCTCTCACCATGGGCTGCAGGGGGGGTCTCTGCTCCAGCACACCTTCCCCCTTCCTCCTTTCTTCCACTGACCTCAGTGTTTGCAGATGTGTCTCCTTTGCAATTCCACCTCACAAGTCACACTCCCCCTCCCAGGTTTCCCTTCTTAAATACATTCTCACAGAGGTGCAGCCACCATCACTGATTGGCTCGACCCTGGTCAGAGGTGTGTCTGACTTGGAGCTGGGGGAACTTCTGAGAAGCTTCTCACAGGGCACACTGCTGTAGCCCCTCCCTTGCTACACACACAAACCCAACACATGGCACCATCGAGGCCACCTATTTGTTGTGACTACTGAGAACAGATAACAGAGTGAATATCAAACTGAATTGTAAATTAAACAGAGTCTGTCTGCTCCCCTTCTCCCCCACAACACCTTCAAAGCCTACTTGCAAACTACTGCATGTTGTCACGCTGGAGGGAAGGGATGCCATCCAGAGGGACCTGGGCAGGCTGGAGAGGGGGGCCCGTGCAAACCTCATGAAATTCAACAAGGCCAAGTGCAAGGTCCTACACATGGGTCAGAGGAATCCCAAGCACAAATCCAGGCTGGGCAAAGAGTGGCAGGAGAGCAACCCTGCAGAGAAGGACCTGGGGGTATTAGTGGCTGGAAAACTGATTGTGAGCCAGCAACGTGCGGTCGCAGCTCAGAAAGCCACCCATGTCCTGGGCTGCATCAAGAGAAGCATGGTCAGCAGGACAAGGGAGGGGATTCTCCCCCTCTGCTCCACTCTGGGGAGACCCCCCTGCAGTGCTGGGGCCAGCTCGGGGGCCCCCAACAGCAGAAGGACCCGGAGCTGCTCGAGCGGGGCCAGAGGAGGCCACGAAGATGCTCAGGGGGCTGGAGCAGCTCCCCTGGGAGGACGGGCTGAGAGAGTTGGGGGGGTTCAGCCTGGAGAAGAGAAGGCTCCAGGGAGCCCTTCGAGTGGCCTCCCAGGGCTTAAAGGGGGGACAGGGAAGGGGGGGAGGGACTCTGGATCGGGGGGTGAGGGTAGGATGAGGAGGAACAGTTTTAAACTGAAAGAGGGCAGATTTAGATGAGATCTAAGGCAGAAATTGTTCCCTGTGCGGGGGGTGAGGCGCTGGCCCAGGGTGCCCAGAGCAGCTGTGGCTGCCCCCTCCCTGGAAGGGTTCAAGGCCAGGTTGGACGGGGCTGGGAGCACCCTGGGCTGGGGGAAGGGGGCCCTGCCCAGGGCAGGGGGGTGGGACTAAGTGGTTTTTAAGGTCCCTTCCAACCCAAACCAGTCTATGATTCTATGACATTGAAAATGGTATATGAGATTTTTGCTCCTGCTCATAAAAATAGATTTATCAAAATTATCATGTGGGACTATTACTACAAATGTGTCTCATATGAGGAGAATCACTGTAAGTAGGACACAGAGAAAGAAATCTCACTTACAGTTTCAACTGTGGTATCTGTCTCACATAGTCAACACTTTAACTCCAGAAGTCTGTATGTTCAAAAGCCAAGAGCAAGTTCTTTCCTTTCCCATTAAAGAATTGCACAGAAATAAAAGGGAAAGATTTTAGCATTTTGGATTACAATTCTCATTGTAAAAGGGCTGCGGTATTTAGGTCAGAGCACTTGAATGAGACAAGAAAGTCTGATGAAAAAAATTCAGTCCTTTTTAACATGTAATGTTGGTACTTTAGAGAACAAAAATACAGGAATGATCACAAAAATTGAACTAGGTCAGCAACGTCTCTTTTCCTCTCAAACACTCATGAGTGTTGCCAGCTGGAAACTTGGGCTACGATATGCCACAGCAACTGCAGAATAATTTTGTAGCCTGTAATCATGTCTTAATTCTCACCCTGGTTTTAGAGGTATTCTAATATAATGTGAGAGCAGCCACAGAAAGTATTTTGCTGGTACTTTTGACAGCTAATTAGCATATTTCACCACTGTATTGAGTTTTACCCTGTGTTGCATAAAGTTAATTTCACAAGTGTAGGAGAAAAGTGTATTCTCTTCACTGACCTGTATACTGCATTGAAACATTTGCAGTGTTCTCTAGGTATACTATCAACAATAATGGTACTTATATGTAATGTTTTTGGTTTTTTGTATTTCTGTATGCATGTATAAAATATAAAATAAGACAGTTTGCTAATGTGCTAATTAGAGAGTAACAAAACTCTCTAAAAAAAACTAAACTAGAGAGCTAACAAAAACCAATAATGTGCTCATGTTGGATCCCAGAAGTGAGTTTTCAAAGGCACAAATAGGAGGGCTGTGTAAATCCCATGGAAATTCACTTATGGCACATTCACGCCTTTGAAACTCTGCAGCTTTGGATTACAAAAGACCAGAATCAAACCTAAAGGCTTTGATCCTAATACCATTTTTACACAGCCAGCGAAGATATGCAGTTGTTCAGATAAGACATCTACTTATTACAGAGTATGTTCAGGTCATAAAAATGCATTCACTCAATTCATAACAGAAAGTACTTCAGGACCTGTGTTATTTCATGCATAGGAATAGACTTGTTAGAGAAATTGCAGGTGAAGGGAAGTGTACAAGGTACACAAGCTTTGAGGACCCTGACATCTTGTATATCAAGGTTTGAATACCACTTAAGACCTTTATTGGCATAAGTTACCATCATTCTACAGAGGTCAATGGAGTTATATCTATTCCAGCGTAGCCCTCTATTATCACCTAGACAGAAAAATCTAGTCCAAACCTTACAGATGAACAGATCTTAATAGCTTTAAGATTCAGACCTGTGAGTAACAACTAGCTCCACAGTATAGAAATATAGCAGTTTTTCTCACAGGTTTCCAAATCTGCTTGGAAGATTGATTGATAAAATTGTGTGAAATAACCATCAAAATACTAAGGTGGCTTTTGAGAAAAGGAATGGATTGTTATCACAGTTACTCATGTATATCAGTGCAGTCCCTTGTCGCCAAAATGTTGACATCTGCTTATAAGCGTCATGAATGTAAACAGGTTATAGCACACACAGCCAGAAGAGAAGTATTTACAGCATATCTAACAGCCATCAAAAAAACATCCATGCAGAAAAAACCCCAGGATCTTAGATTGCAATAGTACGTTAGCTTTGCCTCAGCCCTGAAATACATCCCCTCTGCTGCCGGAGCTGACAGTAGCTGTAGGGCCAGCCTGCACCTTCCATGTGCTCTGCAGATGAAGAGTGAAGAGTGTGCATGCACTGGGGAGGAAGAGCTGGAGGGAGGCAGCACCCTTCCTTCACAATGGAAATGCACACATGCCCTGTCACGCACTCGGCAGCAAAGTCCTGACCTGCGGTTCACATAACTACAGTCACCTCAGAAGAAACAGAGAAAAAGAAATAAGGCTTAGGAACTGACCTGTTTTTCATTTTCATCCTCCAGCCTCAGCCTGTCCTCAATGCAGTTCCTGGCCTGTAGGAATGCCTTCCTCTGAGCCCTTTCTGTCAAAATCCTCACAAAGACCCCATACAAATTTACACTGACAAAAAGGATTGCATTGGCCACAAGCTGAAAGAAAGAAAGAAAAATAAGTGAATATTTTAAAATACAGATTTTTATTTTACATTTCTACTCAGAAAAAGAAAAAAAGACAAAAAAAAGCACTGTCTTTAAAAATTCTGCCTTGCTAGCCATGTCACTGACACCCCTTCCCACAATCCAACTGCAGAGAAACAATTACAGCAGCTACCAGAAGTCCAAGAAAGCAGTATTGCATAACACAGAACTTCGCATCTGTTGAAGTTAATTTCTCTCATAATGATCTGTAGTTTATCACTTTCATTCAGTTTTGGTTCTTTCATCAGCCCATTGGCAGATCAGTCCATCTAATAAGGAGAGCAGTATCTTCAGCATTTGTTCAATGGCGAGATGCCCAGAAGGCTGAAATTATTTTCCTATGCCTTTGTAAAGTAGGGATATTATTGTCCCTTTTTTCATAGTTGAGTAGCAAGACACTGACAAAATCTAACTAAATCAAAATGTGTGCCTAGGTACCCCAAGCTTTCATATCACACAGCATCCCCTTGGAAAATCTGCTTCTCTTCCATATCTATACTCTTAGCAACCATACCGTATTTCTTGATAAGTCATCCAAAATCCTGTTGATGCTATCCTGCATCAGACCTCTCAGAAGGTGCTGAGTGCTTTCAAATGATGGCCCTTGGCACAAACCAAGCCCTACTGCAATGCTATAAGCAGAGACAGCTAATTACTTTGGAATTACTGCTATGAACAGTGCTTTGATGAAGGACACATAAATGACCCAATTGCCCTTCTGGGTTTTTAAAATGTTATTACAATATGTGATAAGGTTAGTTAACTAACCTAAACAACTCAACAGTGGTTTGCACACAACATCCCTGTCTAAGACAATCCTGTCCAAGTTTCTCACCGTATCTCTGATGTCTGAAACATGTCTCCAGATGGTAAATTCTGCAATGCAATGTAATGTTTGTTTAGAAAGGAGGTATTAAGGCCTGTTTACCCAATAACTTTTCGGTCTCATGCTACTACACAGCATCATGATAAGGACTCACAGGACTTATAAATTCCAACATTTCAGACATCAGCTGGCACATAAATTGGTCAAGATTGGGTTTAGGAGCAAAGAAAGACATTACAGCAAGTAACTCAATTCATGTTAAATTCCTATGCATCTAAAATAAAGGCCATTTAACTGACATTTATTTCTTAATTCAAGGTAAACATTTCAAACCAGTACATGTCTACCGCTGCATGATCTGCTACTGTAAACTGAAGAGACCACAGCTCTTGTTTGTACTGCATAGTGAGTCCAGCTGTGCCAGCAACACAATGAAATTTTAAGGAAAATAAAACCATTGACATCATTGTAGAGGATGCTTACTGACTAACAGGACTAGCATTGAGGGCTTGAATGAGCCGAGATGGTAAGCAAAGATCCTGACGATTTTGGAGAGCTTTTGGGAAATGTTTCACCCTACAAAATTAAGAAGGAGGTTTTTGATGTGTGTTACTAATGGCAATATACATCTCTACCTCCTGTGATCTCAGTATAGTGAGGAGAATTGAAAGATTCATTCTGGGTGGGTTCTCCAAACCTTCACGGATTCACAGATCATCTTTTACCTTCATACCTGGTTGTTATTAGTTAACAGGACATCAACAACTTCCCCGCAAACATTTTCACCAGTACAAAATCAAAAGATACTCTGTGACAGTGAAGGGAGCTGTGCTTAGCATTAGTGTTTTCTTTCTCCTCAGATATCCGGAAAGAAGCAATTATGTCACAAGAGCTAACACCAGTGAAGCATTGAAGCATGGTGTTACAGCTTCCTCTAGAGAACTGTAAAATGTGGGTTCAGGTGCCATCAGTCTTTCAGCCTAAGAATCTCACATATCAATTACTTACGTGTCACTTCTCAGAGATGGCAATACAGATGGTAGAACTTTGAAGATGAAAAGCAGTACACAAACATATTATTTCTAGATACAAGCTGAGCATAAACAGTTTGCAATTCCTATCTTGCTTTATTTTGCTTCATCACAGGGAACTGTTTGAGGTGTAACAATTTTCAGCAGAAGTTAAAGCCTACTAAAATGAAATTACTGTAGAAATTTCAGTAGAAACCTATTTTTAGACACGAATGCGGCTGCACTTGCCTTATCCCTGCCTTTTATCAAGCTGAAGTGTAATGACAACAGTGTATTTTCAAGCTAATTCTTAGAAGTGCAATGGAATAAAAATAGAAAGGATTTGTAAAGGCCATATTCAAAGGCAGTAGAGAAATCCCACAGAATAAACAGTCAAGACAGTTACAGAGAACGCAACTTCTCAACCCTGTCGATACACAAAACAGCTGTTAATAACACAGGGTGAAATCTAATACTATCTCTATGTGTTGGTATGAGAGTGGCCTGACATAAATAATTACCTCTAGAGAGAACAAAAAAGAAAAAAAAAAAAAAGTCAACTCAGTTTCTGGTCTTCAACTGGAAGCAGAAAAAGACCATGTATTGTAACAATCTGCCAGCTGTTCTGGGACTATCATTACGATTTCACTCAAGCGACAGTGATCACCTGGACTGGGGGTAACCAGTATGTGGGTTCCTGCAATCAGGCAGCCACTTTCAGACTCAGCAGGGTAAGTAATTTTCTGACATGCTTTGAACAGTTTAAGATAAAACAGAGGCTTAGGTGTCAGCTCTGGCCTGCAGGGAATCAGGAAAAGTGATAAAGCAACTAAAAGATTCATAGATTTCAAAATGTGAGAAAAGAAAGTAGGGCAGATTGTCTCCTGAGGTAAGAGTTCCTTCCCTCCACAACCCGTTTTCTGCTTAATTACTAATTTTTCCCAATTGCAAACTACATACATATCTCTCTCTAGGTTTCTCAAATGCATACCATTTCCTGGTCCATTTCATTTTAATATGTAAATATGTACCCTTATATACACACACGCACATACATATATAACTTACACATATTGTATGCCATAACTTCAGGAAAGACTGAGAGACTTGCTGTTAAAACTAAGGATCTTTGAAAAGGTACTGAGGCATTCAGAATTGCTGAACTATTGAGGAACTCAGTTTTAAATTATTCACTATACTACTGCTTAGTAACAAAAATATTGTTCTTCAGGTTTCACCATCACCTTCTATTTCCAGAACTTCCAAAGAAACAATTTACCTAATGCAACACAAAGTGACTCAAAAACATTTTATGCTGCAACCTCTTTCAAACAATGTTATTCTCTCATTTCATAATGAGATTACAGGTCAGCCAGAATAAAAAACAAAAGGGCATCAGGGACATGAAAGCCTTTTTTAAAAAAATATTTTTTTATTTATTATTTATTGCTATAATTGAATCTTGTATTGTGCATTATGCATAATCTTGTGCACTTCAGTACCAACATCCTGACGTTTAAGCCTCTCCAGTCCTTAGTAGGGTACACTTTCTGTCACTCGATGGAGTCTGGCATGGTTCCTTGTGCTGGCTCTAGAGGCTGTTACCAAAGGCAGATTTCTAACACAGATAGTTCTTGTGGGCTGCTGAGACAGTGAAGAGGGATTGGCAGCTCCAGCAGGTATTTCAACTAAATTTCTGTCTCTCCTGTTTTTTTTTCTCCATTGACTTTCTTGGGTCTTAACTTAATTTTGGTAGGGAACTCAAACTGTACAATACTGCAATGCCTCTGAAGGAGTCAGCAAATAATTCTGGAGGTAAGGAGCATGTAACATGCACACACATACAGACGACTTGAGGAGTTCAATTAAAATCTCATTTTTTTTTTCCCCAGAATAATCTCTCACTTCTTGAGTGTCCCTCAGGATTAGTTGAGAGACTCTTTGAAGAGACTCTCAAAACTTTTCTCTCCATTCCAGGTAGGATTTATTCTCTACTTCTTCTTTCAAAGCAAGAATCCTCATGTGTGTATTCACGTGTGCACTTGCTCTCTCTCAAACAAATGGTGAAAAATTCTTCTACATATTATTATTTGCCTTTTGAGAGGACTCTGATTACTCAGCAGACTAATTCTACTATCAGGTAAACAGTTGTATAGTAGATGGTTCAAACCTGAGGCTGGTTTTCATTGTGGGGTAGCTTACTCTTTGTCTCACAAAATTGCCTCAGAAAAATGTGGCTATTTCACAAACATATAAATGACTTCTGGATCACTCAAAGACTTTTTTACAAAGTGACATTTATGTGAATGGATATTGAAATACCCAACTGAAGTAGACTAAATGAGAAATAGGTATTACCAGAGAATAAAACTTCAGGAGACTCCCTCAGAACTTCATTGTGCTTTTTAAAAGCTGATCTTGTGGACTGAAGGGGACTGAGAAGGGATTTCAACAGTTACCACTCCCAGGGTTATCATTTAGTGGCTAATATCAGTGTTTGATTTATTCTCAGCAGCATGAATTCTCACAATATCCCATGAAGTAGAGTGGAATATGTAGGCAATATGGCCAGCATTTCTAGGTAAAGGTTGAAATTTGCAGAAAAGACAAGACCAATGTGTTTCTTATATGACTTAATCCTTGCATACATGATACGTTGAGAGGTATGGAGGGCCTGAATTCTACTTCTAGATTTCTCTGTTAATTGAATTTTATTGCAAGACATTTCTGTGCCACTGTTCTTGTTCCTGTTATGCAGACAATGTAACATTTACTCATTCTGTCAAAATACTTTGAGATATGGCAATGAAATGCTTTATTGTAAAATATGAATGTCTATTGTGAAGCACGCCTCTAAGGAAAGAGTCATGAACAGATTACCAAGATGAGTCAGTGCTTCCACCATTAAAACCCTTGAGGAGCAAGGCAAGACTGCTGTTTATGACAAGTGCTGGTACCGTAAACAAGACCTTTTACAAGTTTAAACAAAAATAGTTACTCTTTTTCTTGTTATGGAAAATGTTACCATTACAGAAGTGCTTTCTTAATAGCACAAGAGCAAAAAAGTAATAGCAAAAGAGAATGCACAATTGCCTCTTGATCCTGACACAGTTTTA